CAGGAATGCTGAAGACATAAGACACAGAGGCTGTGCTAGTGCACTAATTGGCACTCCCCAGCAGACTCTATTTAATACAGCGCGTCAGAGCAGATTGTAATTATAGTTGAAGACGCTTAATATGGGAACAGTTAAATTCTCAACTCTGTCCTAGAATCGTCTCTAATAAGTAAAGCTACAGTAAAAGCCCTGTTATCCAGGGAATGGGGAGTGTCGGGCATCTAAAAATTCTGGTTACCCGAGGCCGGCAGTTACAACCAGACATGGGGGTGGGGAGGAGGTAGCAGCAGCTGGATGCAGAGCGGTGGCATCACGGGGTGGATGTTTCAGCCAGATGCGGAACAGTGGCAGTGTGTGGTGGTGGGTGGAGGTGGTGGCAGCTGGATGCAAGCTTTCCCCTGCCTCCAGCTGGCCAGATGGAAATTCCAATTAATAGAGTATTCTGGCTACTAGAAGGCCGGATGACAGGGTTTTTACTGTATTTCCTTTACTGTGCTTCAGTTCTTCATCTGTAAAATAGGAGGGAAATATTGTGAAACTGTATGTTAGGGAAGCATTTTTTTTATGTCAGGGAGGGTACCTAATGGAGTGTAGATTCAAATGAGCTGTTTCCAATCTAGACCACATTAAAAGCATAGCTACAGCCACTTTTTCCCTGCCATCTCAAAATACTGCTGAAGCCTTCCCCGCAGCTCTGTGGGCATCGGTTGATAAACGCCTGGCAGATATTACATTTTATGACATGATTAACATAGGTGTGCATCAATAGATTTTGGGGGCTGATGCAATAACAGATTTTTAAGGTGGCATATCAGCAGATGCTGATCTGTTTTCCAGTATGCAGCCCTGCAGCTTGAGGAGCTGTGTGCACCTAGTAAGCTTGTTGTGGTGGAAGGGGAGGAGGGAGGGAAGGGGCTTGGGGAGCAGATGAAAGCCCCCGTAGTGATGGAGGAGTGGGGCTGGGGCCGGGGCAGGGGCTGCCCAGCTAGGGCAGGGCGCAGCACCTGTCTGAGCTGCAGCTTGTCCAGGGAGTGCTGGGAGGGGGGTGGATCCTGCCACTGCATGCATCCCAGGAGAGCACAGGACTGTCATGTGCCCCCTGGATCTGCATGCGAGGTGGATCTGGCTGCAGCTGTGGATTAGGGCTGGGGCTGCTCTGCTCTTCCCGGCAGGAGCTGGGCCACGCTGCACTTCAGGTGAGTAGCAGTGTTGGTAGGGGGCTATGGGGAAGGCTGCAGCCACCCCAAAATTTGCAGTAGCTGCCCCCCATAGCTCCCCTCTCAGTGCCGCTGCCTGCCTTGAGCACAGCCCTGGCCCACAGCCCCACGTGTCAGGAAGGGCGTCATGGCTCTGTCCCACTCCTGCTTCGCCCTGACTGGGCAGCACCTGCCCCAGTCCCACTCCCTCCCTTACTGCAGGGGCCTGGATCAACCCCCCACACCCCTTCCTTCCTTCCTCCCCTCCCATTCCATCAAACCACACTTACCAGCTGCATGCAGCTCTCCAAGCTGCCTGGTTGTGCTCCTCACTGCCTAGGCACTGCTCTGTGGCTGCGTGCATGGACAGGCTACTTATGGGCCCCATCAGGCCAATTTCCAATACAGTCAATTTTCTTTATATCAGTGCTGTTTTGATATCAGACTGGTTTGTTGGGTTTTTTTGTTTGTTTGGGTTTTTTTGTTTGTTTTTAATCCATGCAGCTCTATTGACTTGTTAATTAAACAACAACTGAGCACCAGAATGAACGCACACCAGAAATCTATCAAGACAGAAATACCCAATTACCTTTTTGGGGACACATTTCTCACAAGACAACCACACTCTGTCCTATCTATCAGTTCCGTTCCTCAAAGGGAATTTACAAAACAACTTTTGTAGACGAGCCTACAAACTTCACTTCATAAATCTACTGGATACAAAAAATCCTGGATAAAATATAGACATTAGATCTATGGTACATTATAACCTGCCTACCATGAGACTAACCCCAGGAAACCTCCCTTCACTTTACCAATTGCATTCTTTCAGCAGGTCAACACCTACTTCCACCCCCCCCCCCCCCCCCCCCCCCCACCTACCTGTCTCGTACCTATTGTTTCCCATCTCTCTGATCCTCATTGCCACACACTTGCATTTTCACAGACCTGTGTTTTGCATCTTGGCTTCCATTCCATCCAGGAGAACACAGAACAACATCAGAATCTCCCTATGCCTGAAGAAGGGTGTTTGTGCTCAAAAGCTTGCAAAGAACATTTTTTTTCCAACTATTTAATTGGTCTAATAAAAGGTATCACATTTACCCAAATGTGCCTATGTTCTTAGACTGACATGGTTACAACCAACACCCCTGCCATAAATTGTAACAATTATATGATTTTATATGCTGAGTTTCCCAACAAAGGCTCAGAGCAGCTTCCAGTAAGAGAACAGAACAACTTAAGGGCAAGAAAAATATCAAAATAAGAGACCCACTAAACAGTCTGAACCAGGCTTTGCTTGCTAAGTGTCTGCTGAAATAGGAAGGTCTTGCATCACTTTCAAACAATGTCCATGGTTGGCCTCTGGCAGGCCTCAAGAAGGGACTTTGTAAAGCTGAGGAGCAGCTGCTGAGAGAGCCCTCCCACATGTTTTTGCTGAGTGGACTTGACGTACTATTGGTGCTTACATGAGGTTGCTTTCAACTAACCTTGGAGATCATGGTGGGGCTTAAGGGAGAAGGCAGTCCACATGCCACATGTTCTCTTGAGTTTTATAACATGATAAAATTGCCAACCAGCCACAAAGAGATCCAGATTTCTGGGATAGTATTGTATCGTGCCTTAAATTGACCTTGTGGCATGTTCCAGACATAGGCTACCCCATACCTGAGCCTAACTCTCAGCTGAGTCTTGGGATCACACAGGGTAGCCACAGATTTAGGATCTAGCTGTCCTCTGTCTGATTTCCATGGTAGGTCTTGGAACAGCCCAGAGTCTCCAGCCAGGACATAGGGCCATCCTAGGTCTAAAAACTGCATGTGCACCTGAGCTACTTACTTGATGTGTTAAAAGCCTGTGGCCTTCAGAGGCCAAGATCAGGGAAAGCCTCCCTGGCTGGTGTCCTGACAGCCCAGATGAGCTGAACACATTGTGTTTCAAAGCCTGGGCCATGGGAATCCAAAATTAGTAAAGTCTTTCCAGCCCGGTGCTTCATATGTGGCTTTTAGATCTGGCTTTTTCACACCCAGTTCTAACTCTCAGCTGAGCACCAAGATTGGGCCTTGGAAGCCCCCTGGTGTCCATGAGGAATTTTTATGGCCTATCCCCAATGTTGTGCATCCTCCCATACATGTGTGGCATGGCAGGGCGCACAGTTTTTGGAGATGGGACTAAATATCCCATGGATTCCAATAACACTATTTTTGTCTACCAGGGACCTGACTTGCCAGGAGGTTGTCAGACTGAGTGTTTCACACACACCAAATAATGAAGACATACGGGCAAGAGATGCAGTCTAGCTCCGTAGGCTTTTCTAACAGAAGCAAAATAATGAGGTTTCATAATTTCACTTAGATACACTTACATATGTGTTTTTTTTGCTTCAGGAAATTCGTAATATAAACAAGTACAGTGGACTGTACTTGCACTCCAGTTAACGGCACATTGTTTCTGCAATGCGGTCTTTTTCCTTCCATTAAAGAATTCTTGCTCCCCTTTGACTAGGAAATCTCTTATTTGTGAGAGCTTGGGAAAAATAAGAACCCATTCTAAATTCCCTTAAGTTTAACAAAGTACATTTTAAAATGCAGCCTCGAGCAAGGGACAGAGGTAACTTAACTACTTCAAAAGAGGAAGAAGCAGGGGGTTGCCTCTTGGGAGAGCAACAACACTTATGCTGTAACTACTACCTCTGCATTCCCTTTCCATGATACGAATAAGCTATTTTTTTGTGAATTCCATTAATTTAGTCCAGAAGGAAATGAGATTTAAATTTATAATGTTTTACTTGTATTTCTACAAGAGTACGTAGACATAAGTTACTTAATACTGTTACCGTGAAGCCATATGTTTTCTTTATGGCACAAGTCTGGCTCAGTGCAGTGACTCGCTGTTCTCCTGGTTATCTGATATGCTGATGAACAGTTTGATAATGTACTGTTGTTCATAGTGTGCTTGGCACACAGGGCACTTTTTTTTCTTTAATAGTCCAAAGTTCCAGTTTCAGAAGTGACTTGAGCTCCTGTAGGCCTGTCCTTCAAAGTATTTAGGTCTCTAAGGAGGTAGGGCAGTTCAGATCTCAGTCTAAAGTAATCTTCAGAAAGGGACTTTTATAATGCCTGTCTGTTTTTACAGAGCAATACTTACATACCAAATAGTGTCATAAGCCCCTAGTTCAATTAGCTTGTTAGGTATCTAAAGTGAAAATACCAATACTGCCTGTATGGTTAAGGGCTTGCAGGCCAAGCCCTATGAGGAGAGACTAGGGCACCTGGACCTCTTCAGCCTCTGCGAGAGAAGGTTGAGAGGCGACCTTGTAGCTGCCTATAAATTCAACATGGGAGCACAGAAGGGAATTGGTGAAGCTCTATTCACCAAGGCACCCCTGGGGGTCGCAAGAAATAATGGCCATAAGCTAGCAGAGAGCAGATTTAAACTGGACATTAGGAGGAAATTCTTCACAGTTCGAGTGGCCAAAATCTGCAATGGGCTCTCAAGTGAGGTGGTGCTCTCCCCTACCCTGGGGGTCTTCAAGAGGAGGTTAGATGGGCATCTAGCTGGGGTCATCTGACCCCAGCCCTCTTTCCTGCCTATGCAGGGGGTCGGACTCGATGATCTATTGAGATCCCTTCCAGCCCTAACATCTATGAATATGTGGTTTGTACATAGTCTCATTGGTAGTTTGACTTCTAAGAACAGTTGTGGCAAGTTACCTTCTCTAAAACTGTCTGCTCTTGACAGAAAATGAAGCCTGCCAATGACCAAGAAGAAAATGAGCTTGTGATCTTGCATCTGCGGCAGCTGTGTGAAGCTAAACAGAAGACGCATATTCATATTGGGGAAGTGCCGTCGGTAAAACTTTTATGATTGCTTTTTTTTTTTACTTTATTCGGCTAAAACCTTAACTATTGCAAGCAGGGTGGTATTGGAATACCTCAGTGGGCACTGAAGCTTTTGAATGACTTGTCTGCTTATCTTAATTATACTGTTGTGCTTCATGTAGAGATGTTAAATTTTAAAGTTTGTATTTATGTGGCTTCTTCCCGTTCATCCAAAAAAGCCATGAGCAGTTACTCTAGTTCTAGATTTCAGTAGGAGGAACAGTAAGACCAAAACACTAACTTTTAAGCAGAGTAAGAAATTGATCGGTAAGAGAAGAATGTACAAAATTTCACTTAATTATCTAGGTAATCTCTCTTAAAACAAACAAACAAAAAAAAAAGTGGGGAGGGAAGGGGAGGCATAGATAGCTAGTTTCCTATAGGTTAGATTTTTCTTTTAAATACATGTATATTTTTTTGTGCCCAGGCTATGTTGTTTTAGTTCTTGGAGACCTTCAGTTGCCTAAAGTGTGGTCAAAATTGAAATATGCCTTTGCTTATTTCAACAGAACATTTCTGGCAGTGCAATTCCAGAAAACACTGCTAGTGGTGGCAGATTTAAACTTGACATTCTGAAAAACAAGGCCAAGAAATCCTTGACTAGCTCCCTGGAAAATATCTTCTCGAGGGTAAGATTAACCACTTGTCATTATTACTTCCAGATATCCTTGACAATGAGAACCAAAGCACAGTGCAACCTTATTATTTCTGTTTTTTAGTTCAAATGTCGCCTAAAAATTGGGGAGTCAGATTGTATGTGTAACATCTTATGACTTCAGATTTAATCTGTTTACGTGCTTCTCATAAATATGCACAGAAGAAGGAAAAGTGCTTTAGGAGCAATTTGTGAAAAATGAGTGTCCAGCAGCAGCAACTGAGGTGGCTGGAGGGATGATGAAAATGCATGTTATTGTCAATCCAAATGGTGGATTACAATTCTTCAAGGAATTGATTGATTATGGGAGGAGGAGGTAAAAGCATCAGTGTTTTGATCTTTTTTTTTCTAGTGAAGTATATTTCAAGTCTGTAACTTTATTTTATTTTTTTAACTGTTTAATATTTAATTCTAGGTCCTATACAAACATAATGTTAATTCACATGATACACTATGCATATTACCCCTAAAAGTACAAGGGGTTCTCATTCCATCATGTTAGCCAAGCTGTAACATCATTAAAAACTACAAGCAAGCAGAAAAGCCCACTAACGTACAGTATATATTTACCTCTAAATGCGGTGGTTATTGGTGGGTTTTTTCCTTTTCTTGAGGAGGAGGGGTTTGTTTGTTTTTTTTTTTAACTCGGACTATAAAAGGCCAAGTGACAGCAGGTAGACAGCAGAAAGAAAAGGAACAATAAAAAAAGGTGCTGGAGTGATCTATCAGCATCTACATGCTCAATAGACTGCTAGTCCGGGTAATCTGCATAAATGGATGGCCTGTGCCTGTAGAAGTACATTGTAACTAAAGGATTTAGGCCTTAGTTCAGTAAGGTGTTCCCAGTTATCCCGCAATAGATCTGGTAACATGATATACTCATGAGTGGATCTAGAATTTTGAAAAGTGGGGTGTACATGGTGAGGTGCATCATTTATAAAGCAACATTTTTTCCAGTAAAAAATAAACTAGAAGCTTTCCTAATAATAGGAAATGGCTAGGGCCATATTATTCAGTTCAAGACTGAAGCACAAACGCATAACTTCACTGAAATGAATTGACAATCTGCAGAAGTGTGAAATTGCTTTGCATTCTGCCGTCTGTTAGAATCAGCTAAGGATAGTGAGATTGGTGGAACGTCATGGCCATTTAGAAAAGACACCTGCAGAATGAAGAGTTTTTTAGAAGGGATCAGATAGATTTATAATGAGCCATGAAGTCAATTGACTCCTTCAACACTGCCTGAGAAGAAATGCTGCTGTCACTGCCAGACAGTTAGTTGGTTTTCAACTTTTGGGTGGTGTGGGAATTGAAGGGGATGGGGTACAAGTGAACACCTCCTGGATCCTCCCCTGGATGTACTAGTTACAACTAATAACATTGTTTAAGTAGCAAAAATGTCTTGTTTTGTCTCTACTCAAGCACTTCATATACTTACCTCTTTAAGCACATGTCGTCCCACTAAAATCTGGAAATACTCTGGCTTAAATTTTAGGAATAGGCTTTAAATGCCTTGATGGAGTGGGGCAATAGCTAGCATTATTTAGATCACTTTAATCTGACTATACTTAAAGATGAGGATTTTTATAGCACTTGTGAGACACTAGAAGAATATGACCTGTGCACAGAAAAGTGGCTGAAGAACAATACTTGAAAGATCTGTGCAGTTCTAGTACTTGGAAATATCAAATGGTGATAGATGGCCATATCTGTACTCTGTTGGATTTATTTATTTTCCGTGTCTACAGAGAATAGGACTCTTAGAGCCAGATTAAACAAGGTTCTTTGGGTGAATCTAATATCTTTTATTAGACCAACTTAAATAGTTGGAAAAAAAATTATTAAACAAGCTTTTGGGTTCAAAAACCCTTCATCAGGCTAAGGAAGTTTCAGCAGAGCCAGATTATGCTTTCATGAGGGTTTTTTTTGTTTTTGTTTTTTTCAATAGGGGATGCTGTTGTAGAGCAGGTGTTCTGGGGATGGGGTGTCAGTGTAGGAGAAGAAAGGCCCAACAAACACTCTGGCTAGGGACAGACATTACACACAAACTGGTTTAAGTGATCAGAAACTGGTTTAAACCTGTAACAGAACAGATGTTCCGTTCACATAAACCAGCTTGAGATAAACCTGGTTGAATGTAGTATCAGACTTAACTGATTTGGCTCAAACTGGTTTATGCAATGTCTGTCCGAGACCCCTTGCTGGTTTGAGTTAAATCAGACTCCTAAGCATGCTCTCTGGGCTGGGTGGGGCTCTGTGCTCCACAGCAGAGCTGGCCCCTCCCATCTGCTCTCTGGTTGCAACTCTGGCAGAGACTTGCAAGCACGGCAACATCTGCCTGGTTTCATCCTCCTTCCCCTTCCCCACTCCCTGCTAAGCAGGAATTCCCCATCCCTTCTGCCTTAGATACCTCAGCATTAGCTAGCAGACCACATGCTGGCTATGGTCCATGCTATGGCAGATAGCAGTGTTGGGTTAGGGCTTTTTGGAGCCAATCAAAGCTCAGCTGGTAATGTCCCTCTGTTCCTACTTTTAAGAAAAGGTTGAACTAATGAGAGTCTATTTGTTTGTTTTCTGATGGGGTGAAATGCTGATAACACAGCTGGTAAATGCTCTGTTATCAAGGGGGGGAACCCCTCTCTAATCCTACTGGGGCCTGGCTACACCCCACCCCACCCCACCCTCAGGTCAGCACTGGAAGGGAAGGGAGGGCTGCTCTAGCACCAGGGTCACTGCTTCAGTAGTGTTTTTATAGTGCATAGTAGATGGAATCTTGTACAGTCAAGGTTGGACAAAATAACCTGCATGGTTGTCTGCATTACCTGCATTACATTACCCAGACCTTCTAGGCCTGCCTGTTTTTATCATAGAGTATCTGGTCACGTGGTATATTCCTAGTAAATGCAGGATTTTGGAGTGACACATGCCTTGCACATGTAACTACAGTGGATTTAGAACACAAGCATACCAGAATTTTGCAAGCTAGAAATTGGTTCAACAGTGTTTTTGGGTTTTTTTCCTTTTATTCCCATTAATGGCTTCATTAATATAAAAGTTAGTTAAGAAACATCCTGCAAGACTGATAGGGAAATGATACATGTCCTAATATTTGGAGCAGGAACAACTTTTTTGTGTATGCTGTCTAACACAAAGTTCTGACTGCCAAGTGCTTTGTTAAACATGAATTTAAAGAAATAGAGAGCAACTTCTCATGTTTCTTTTTTGCCATCTGTGTTGTAAAATATATTTGCTTTGTGGGGCAACATCTCTTTGTCTCTTTTGCAGTGCCTATCACTGATCCAAGGGTTAGACTTTAAGTATTTATTTCTTTACCTCCCAGTGATTTCCATGCTCTCTGCCCCTCTTTTTGCTACCCAACGAGGCATGCATAAATATCTAGTGCCGTGATGGTATTAAAGTTTAATCATAAAACTTACCTTCATTTTAACTTGGTAAAGAAAATACTTGAATAGTTTAGAAGACAACTTATTATCTTTGAATAAAATCTTCTTCCAAGCTTTTGTTGCAGGCAAAAAGTTGTTAGTTATTTCATAGTTATTTATTTAATGTGTTTTTTGTTTTGTTTTTTTAAGGATGTGCTTATAGAACGTCAATTTTTAAAGGTATTCAGAATGTTGGGTTTTTTTTAAACCCTCACACTTAAGTTGTACTTGTTGGTGATGTATTCACATCTCTCATGGTACAAACTGCTTAATTAGGACTGTGCCATTCATGTCACTTAAACTTCCACAGCATCTGACAAAGTGAACTTGGGTTCACAAAACCCTGTGGTGGGCAGTCTTATTCAGTTAGTCTATAAAAATGCATATCTACCCTGCCTTCTGATTTTAGCAGGATCCTGGTTTTCTCTTACTTTTTTTAAATCCCCAATTTTCGGTTAAAAAAACAAAAACAAACCCCAAATCCCCATTTTTCCATGACTTAAATGAAATGCCATGATATCTAGATGCCCTTGATGCATGTTTTCCTAGCTAAAGCCTGTGTTGTACAACCCGCTTTCTTTACTGGCCTTTCCCTAGATAACTAGATATTAGTGGTGTTTCATTTAAATTATGGAAAATATGGATTTGGGGTTCTTCTCTTTAAAACCAAAAATTAATTTTTTTTTTTTTTTTAAGATGGAGAAAACCAGGATCCCTGCTGACTAGACTTCAGACCGACATGGCTAACTACCTCTCACTACTTGAAAGTGTAATTTATTTACTAATACCTGCATAGGGTTTACAGCTAGACTATAAATGAGAAGCACATGTCCTTTTGTGTTCTGCTCTAGTAAGATGTTATTAAAATAGAAGGCTGCAAAGAATGCCACTTTCCCTTTTGTTTGTTTTGCTGAAGTGATCTTATTTGTGCCAGGACTGCATTGAAAACAAACTGGCTTCCTAGCTGTGGGTCTCAGAAAAATAAATATAACCTGTTTGACCTCAAACATCATAAATACAGTTTGTGAAGGTTGTTCCCAGTCTATGCCGGACTAAGAATAGGTTGGGGGGCGGGGGGTTTCCTGACCTAAGAATTGACACATTTTGATGACCAAAAACAACACTGCTATTCAGTGAATTTTTTAAGTCTATTAATTTGCAATATTTTTGTTTATTTCTCTGGTATGTGGGAAGCCAGTAAAGAAAGAGGGTTGTATAATGCAGGTTTTGGTTAGTATGACATGTATCAAAGGCACTGACATTTGTTTTGGTTTCCAGGACTAAAACTCTGGCCAGAAAAAGTAACCTGAAAAAAATGTAACTTTTGCTGATGTTGCACAACTGCAACTAGAGCTGTGAATACAGTGAGAGGAACTATTTTGCCCTCTGTTTATCAGCAGCTTGTAAAACAAGTATGATCTTGCATATCTTGGTTTTAAGTATGGAAGTAGTGCACAGCAGCAGTTTATAGATACCATCTCAAGGCATATTTCCACTTATTCTGGAGAAATTTGGAACTGCAAGAGATCTCAAAAGGTCATCTAGACCAAGACTGTCCTAGGGCAAGATTAAATATACCAAGACCATATGCTTGTCTATTTTGTTCTTTAAAAACTTCAATACTGGAGATGCACAAAATTCTCATTCCAGTTCTTAATATTCTTGTATCTAGCTTTTCTTCCTGGTTTCTAATACCATGATCTCCTTTGCTGCAAATTAAGACCGTTATCTCCTTGACCTACCTCTTGTCACATGGAAAGCAATTGATCAATAGCCCTTCTTAGATGTAGTTTTACAGAATTCCCTTGCCTTCTCTCTTCCTGACTAACCAAACTGAATTCTTTCAACTTTCTTCATAAGTTTTATGTTTTAAATCCATTCTTATCACTGATCACTCTCCTCTGGACTTTCTTGAACTTGTTTACATCATTCTAAAACTGCAGTGACAAAACCTGGATGAAACACTTCAATTGAAGTCTCTGCAAAGCAGAATAACTACCTGTGTGTATTGCTTTAGCATCCCAGAACATTTGTCTCTGCTGCAGCAGCGTCACTTAGTTGACACAATTCAGTTGGTGGCTCTCAGCAGTGATTCTCTACAGGATTCTGGGTGGTTGTGGTGCTCTTTAGGGTGCGATGCAACATTGGGACTGTTAGGTATGCAAGCACCTATGTGCGATTCACAAGATAAATCCAAATACTTCAAACAGGAAGCCATAATATCAAAATTATTTTGACCTGTTGTGGTGTTTGAATTCTTTACAACGGGAAACTTGCTCTATTATTGGCAGGCACATTCTAAGGTGTACCTTGAGCCTAACAAGGGATGGCTTGAGTCTAAAAAGTTGAGAGCCACAGCTCTTGGCATATTCACAATCCTGTACTGCAGCCTAACAAGTTTTCTCTTTTGTAGTCATTCAGTGTGTTTACTGGCCACTCCCTGTAAGTACCAATCCTGTTCCAATATATTGGGGATGTTCAACTTCTGAGCAGTTGGTGAACCCCCCTGCCACATGGGTTTTGCAGATTCCCTGGGCTCCTAACTTTATATCACAATGGCTGCCCAAGCTGTTTTGCTCCACCTCTGAGGTAGGGGCAGGAAGCTGGAGTGGGGAGAGGAACCTGGAGACCCTGGCAGCAGGAGGAGGAGAGGTGGGAAGAGCAGCAGCCACCATGTGCAAAGCCCACAAATAGGAAGTTCACCCATCGCTGGCCCCATGTGGCTTCTGGGCTGCGAGCTGGACAACTCTGCAGTATAGCATTGTGTTGACATACGATGTAATGTAGGATAGAAAGGAGGGGGGAAATAAAAAAACTTATGAGTTTTAAGGTGGTGGTGTTTACCCTAGGAACAAATGTGAAGTCAAACATAACCTTTTCATGGACTTGTTGGCATTTGGTTCTTCCAAACGATTGCTGAAGTAGTTTACTTTGCCCTCATCCCTATGTACATTCAGATCATAAGAAGTGTCTTAGCAAAGAGGACCCTGGGAATCTTCTGCAGTCTATATCACTTAGGACAGGAACATCTTAATGACAAGAAGGGAAATGCCTTTTTTTACTTCACTTTTCACAAAAATGGGCTGCTACTAGCTGATAAGTGCAGTTAGCAGCAGATATAGGGGAGGAGACGAACAGCCTAGATTAATGGCAAAACAGGTTGGGGATTACTTACAAAAGCTAGTTGCTTTCAAATCTGCAGGGCCAGATGGGATGCACACTACAGTAATTTTGGACTGTTTGGAAATCCTTTTTGGGAACTCATGGGTGTTGGGTGGTGTCCTGGATGAATGGAAAAGGGCAAATGTAGTGCCCATCTCTTTTTTTTTTTTAAAAGGTGAGAGGGGATTTGGGGAACTACAGACCAGTCACTGACCTCTATACCCAGCAAGATCATGGAGCAGGTCCCCAAGGACTCTATTGTGAAGCACCTAGAGGAAATGAAGGTGATCATCAGGGATCCTGGGTTTTTTTCAAATCGAATAAAAAGGAACTACAAAACCTACATTTTTCCACGATTTAAAATGCAATGCCACAGGATCCCTGGTGATCAGGAACAGTCAGCTTAGATTCACCAAAAGCAAGTCCATGCCTGACCAATCTGACTTCCTTCTATGATAAAATGGCAAGCTCCGTGGATGAAGGGACAACAGTGGATGTGGCGTACCTTGACTTTGGGAAGACTTTTGACAATCTTCTGCAATATCCTTGCTAAGAAGCTAAGGAATACAGACTAAATGAAAGTCCTGTAAGATGGATATGTAATTAATTGGATCATCGTACTCAGAGTTGTCCTCAATGGCTCAATGCATCAAGTGGGGTTCCCCAGAGGTCTGTCCTGGATCTGGCATTGTTCAACAGCTTTGTTAATGATTTGGATGATGGGGTCATGTGCCTATTTTAGCTTTAGCAAAGTTTTGGATGACCAGATATTTGGTGGAATTGCAGACTCTCCAGAGGGCAGAGCTAGGATCCAGAATGACCTGGATAGACTGGAAAAATGGTCCACAACCAGCGAGATGATTCAACCACGACAAGTGCAAAGTCTTGCATTTGAGATGGAATAACCACATGTGCAAACACAGACTGAGGAATGAGTGGCTGGGCTGCAGTACTGCAGAGAAGTACCTTGGGGTTACAGTGGAACACAAACTGAATATGAGCTAACAGTGCGCTCTTGTTGCATGCAGAATAAAGTCAACAGCATCCTGGGTTGTTTTAACAGGAGTGGTGTTACTTGCAAATCAAAGCAAGTGATTTTTCCATTCTTCGTACCGGTGTGCCCACACCTGGAGTACTGTGTCCAGTTTTGGGCCTTGAAGTTTAAGAAGGATGTGGACAGTCTGGAGAGAATCCAATGCAGGCAACAAAAATGATTCGGGTCTTGGAGACCAGACTGATGAGGAAAGGCTGAGAACTAGAGTTTAGCCTGGAGAAGAGAAGACTGAGTGGGGATTTGATAAGTCTTCAATTACCTGAAAGGTGATTACAGACCAGATGGGCTTTTCTCTGTGGCTGTAAGGGATAGGATTAGCAGCAAAGGTCTCAAGCTTCAGCAGGGGAAATCTTAAGGTGAAGATTAGGAGGAACTTTCTGACTATGAGGGTGGGCAGGTATTGGAATAGGCTACCTAGAGAACGTGGAATGTCCATGCTTGGAAACTTTCAAAAGCAAGTCAGACAGGCTTTCCTGGGATGGCTTGGTCAGTGATGATCATGCCTTGAGCAGGGGGCTGAAGTAGTTGACTTCATGAGGTCCCTTCTAGCCCTACTTTCCTATGATCATAAAAGGTTTTTACACTCCAGAGTATTCTCATGAGAGGAATTAAAAGCCTTTTTCCTCCCCTTCTCAGAACTTATTGTGTGCATATTAAAAAAAAAAATCCTTACATTCTTAATTATACTTTTTGTTTGTTTCTTGGAGGTACATTTATGAGAGTGTGAGCCATCACATGGTCTATAAATATAACACTTGAATGAACAAATTTAGTACTCTAAAATCAAAGGATTTTGCATTGATTAGAGATACGTGGTTCAGGCAGATGTTTTGCTGTGTTGCTCATCTATACCTCTTCCGGGTTTACATTTTAAGATGACTGTTTTTGTCCTGTGCTCTCTTTGAACAAATTGGCTTAATCATACTATGAGGAATAAAATATGATAAAATTGGGCACTTGTATTTCTGCAGGGAGCTAACAGAATGCGAGGCCGTCTGGGAAGTATGGACAGCTTTGAACGAAGCAATAGCATTGCTTCTGACAAGGTATGTAGCAAAATTTAAGCAAAACTGGAATGTTGTTGCCAATCTCCTTTTTGATTTTTTTTTTTGAAGAACAGTGCATTTATGAAGAGAAATTTCAAGGGAGCTTATCTACCACAAAGATTACTTCAGTTTTCGAAAGCACCTTAAAGTTGAAACATTTTATCTTTACTTCTTATTGTTTATGCTTGCTATTTGTTTTATAATCCAACTAACAACCTCTAATCTGCTTCTCTCTCAACCACTCAGATGAAGTAAGTCCTATAAAATAATTGTAAAAGCAAAGAACCTAAATTGAGAGAAGCCTTACTTTTTTACAGGTAAAAAAACCTTGGTTAATTCAGTTAGAAATTTGGGTCTTAATTACTTGGTGGCTGTCCTTTTAAGAGGTACCCTCTGCATAAACCAGTTTTTTGTTCAATTTTTTTTATTTCCTGTTTTTAGTGCCTTCCCACTTACCTCACCTCACACAGTATTTGATTGGATTACACCTTTTCCCTGGAGACAAGGATACGCAACAGCTTTCATGATTTGATTTTTTTTCCTGTTACACTTTGCAATCTGACTCTGTAATAATAGGCTCCTTTTCCAGGATATCACTTTGACAGTACAGGAAATGTGTTCATGTTGTGTTGAGAAAACTATTGAAAAGCAGCTTCTCTTATGATATTTTTCCCAAGCTTACTTATTTTACTGAAAGAGCAAGATGTCTCTTCAGCGTGTGCTCCAAAGATGAGTGCCATGTTAGTTTTGAGTGCTTTGAGTATACCCATTATACTTTTTTCTTCCTTTTAAAAAGGATGCTGCTATTTCGAAGACATTCTTGGAAAAAATTTGCTGGCACTGGTGGCACAGCTGATAATTAGCATACAATAGGCCATGACCAGAAAGGGGAGAGGCTTCAATCTCTCTTCAGTCTCTTGATGGACTGTAGAGTCTGTTCAGCTGTCACAGCATGCAGAGGGGAAGGCCTCATTCCCAACTGATTTTTTTTTTTCAGGACTGTTCTCCTGGTGATTCACCTCCTGCCACTCCTCCAGCTTCCCCGGTGTCTTCAGGCTGGCAGCCATTTCCTGAGGAGGACTCGGATTCTCCCCAGTTCAGAAGGCGTGCACACACGTTCAGCCACCCACCATCCAGTGCCAAGAGGCGGATTGCTTTCCAGGATGGAAGATCCCAGAGCGTTAAGTCCCCTCTTCTGAGACAGAATTCTACTGAGCCCAACGGGTAAGTTTTGCGTTCTCGTGTGCGCAAGTATTTTTAGTATCCTCTTGATAAAGTGGAATAGAATGAAATGAAAAACACAAGCCTATACCTAAGCCCCAGCAGGTAATATTCTTGTAAGCTAACTCTACAGTATTTTAGATGCATTTTTTTTTCTCCTTTTAACTTGATGATGGTGAGCTTCCCAGAGCTAAAGAATTTGTAGCTGTGCAACAGTTAATATACAAACAACTAACTAACCGGAGAGGCCTATGCAGAGGTGGAGTGAACATGGAAATAGCACCACTTCTAATCACTTTGCTAGTTCCTTGTACAAATGAATTAATCTCTTAGCTGTGTTCTGAACTGCGGCCTTGTAGAAGCAAAAACATTCCCATCAGTTGAGCTACTTGGGTTGTAGCACTACAGGGAGCCTAAGTGTTGAAAGTCTCAGGAAGCTTCCAGTGTCACTTGCTCACTTTGTCAGGTATAGCTAACAAAGTAGTTGTAGGAATTCAATATTTCTATGCTGTGGGATTCCTCAGGAATATTTTCCTGAAGGAGAGGGATATGCAAGTTTTGTAATATTTCTACTTTTCCCCCAAAAGTCTCTCGTCCTTTGCAGTGGAAACCTTCCCTCTAGCTATTAGGGTTTGAATTCTTACTCCCTTGGGAGCTAAGGCTGGTACCTTCATTTGATCAGAAGGGGGTCACTTCACTTCTTTCCAAGGTTTCTCAATATTGTGCTACTCACCCCTGCCCTATTTCTACCTCCAGGCTTTGCGCATACAAAATCCACAGCACTTTTCATTCTTGTTTACTGTGGAGCCCACTCAGGCAGTCCAATTTTTTTATATGGTAATACTTTTTTTTTTTTTCCCCCCCCAAACTATAACACCCCTTTAATTTGGAAACCACATTTCTGGAAATCATATTGGATATATTTTTGCCACTCTGCTTCTATTCAGTGTATGTAATAAATGTTAACTCCACAACAAACTCTCTCGCAAAGGTTAACAAGTCTGTTCTGTTTGACATCAAGGACAAAGGAAAAACTGGCCTTGAAATGCATGTGCCATATTATTATTCCTTCTGCTTTAGAGAGGAACTTCAATGTGTGTTTTGTTTTGGTTCTAGTTTTGGTTTTTGGTTTTTTGTTTTTTTGTTTTTTTCACTGACCACTATGTTGTATGCAAGCAGGAAACCTTTAGTTCTTGGTACTTGCTGACTTCATTTCTTTGTAATAATCTGCAAGAAGTCTGACTTTTTAAAGTTGCATGATCAGCACATTTCCAGTCAAAACAGCTTCATGACAATTTTATCTTAGACTGATTTCTCCTCTCTTCCCTTTCCCCCCCGCCCCCCAGTTTAACTAGAAATATCAGAGCAGAACAACTTGAGACTATTCTAATATGTTTTCTTTTCTTTTTCCTTGAGTACAGAGGTGTTTAACTTTTTTGGTTCGGTATGTATTTCTTAATGTGCAAGATTTTTTAATTTACTCAAATGTTTAGAGATTAGTGTTGCATACATCTCTCTCTCTCTCTCCTTCTTTTAATTGGTGACTTCTCCAGTAATTTATTTTCAGGAAGAGTTGGAATTTTAATTCGGAAATCTCTGAAGTGCTTCTTCAACTTCCTCTCTGTCACATGGTTGCTTTTCCTTGTTTCATCCTCACTCTAGTCTGTTTAGCAAACCAGTACTGATAACCAATGTGAACCACTGAAGCCTGCTTAAAATGGCAGCTAAGATAAAGCTAAGTAGTTATTCTTGGGTGCCTGCAGCCAAACTTCATTCCTGTATTTTCTTTAAAGCTGTTGTAAGTTAGTAATCTAATTTTATTAGCACCTCCCCCTTTACATGTGATACTGTACTCCCAAATGGTCAGAGTTGTAAGTAGAAGTTGAGTCTGCATCTTGTCCAGTATCTATAACTTGGGTATTTTAAATTGTTATATCCAACCTATTTTTACACTGTAACTATTTTTCTCTTATTGCCTGTACAGTCTTACTGCTATAACTCGGCGCTCTCGCTGTGAGAGTGAATCTGCATCTTCCAGTCTCCCTTCTTCTTTCTCTGCCCCTTCTTTCCTGAAAAGCTTTTACCAGGGTTCAGGAAAGCTGCTCCAGCAGTCAGAAAATGACCTCTCCAAGAGGTGAGAGCAGTGTCTTCTGCCTGCAGTAGTGTTTTTCAACTTTGGGAACATAAGGGTCTCAGTGAAATGTGACCCCACACATCATAATGTGTGAGAGATGCTGCTCCTTGCACTGATGCTTTTCTAACAAGTTTTCTCAACACTTGATTTGAATTGGTGAACAAAGCATCCTGTTGACATGCTCATCAAAAGTTTTAAAGACACGTTTGTTAGTTTGTGTAGTAAACTTGATGGTGTGTGGCTGTAATAAAGCTGCCCAGCTATTGCACTGATCTATAACTCTGGTACATGATGTTGCATTGTGGAAGGAGGGTTGGGACAGGGGGGAGTGGTGAACGAGCTTTTCACCAACTAACATTTCTGTGCTGAATGCAGGCAGCATGTGTTGGCATTATTTCTTTTTTTAAGCTTGAAACTGAGAAGAGAACCATGAGAGAAGACTACAGTGTATTATTCCATTCCACGGTGGAACCTGGTATGTGGTGGGAAGGGACTGACTATTTTATTTTCCTGATGCTTTACTTCAGCAATTAGTACCGATGCTCCATAACCTTATCCTAGCAGTGAAGAGTTCATAGTCACTGTAGGGAGCTTTCTTACTCGCAGTGAGAAATCCACATAATGACCTAAATAAACTAAATATAAGCATGGGGGTTGAGTCAGGAGAGCACTTTAATTACTTTCCTGAATCAGAGCCATAGTGATTTAAAAGGCTTGTCATGTGCTTTGACTGCATGATTTTTATAGCTTCTTTTTATAAAACTTGACTCTTATTCTACCCTGCAGACTCCTTATCCCCTGAACTAACTACTTAGTGGCTTTCTTCAGAGCTAGTCTATTGCACTGTACCTGTGGTAATTGCCACTGATTCTCATTTCTCTTGGGAGGGAGCCAGTCTTGGTGGAATCTTCTTTTAAGCTGTATCGGTGTTCTTCTGACTGCCCTTCTACCATAAACGTACAATCTGGCAGTTGTTTTTGAAGTAGTGTTTTGGTCAAGTCAAGGTCTAAAGTTTAGTTGACAAGCAGAACTTTTTACACTTGGAGACTTAAGTCATCCAAGGTTTAAGTGGAACAGACTTCTAAAGTTTCCAGGATATCTGAAAAGAATGGTTTTCCCATTTGCTTCCTATGGAAACTGCAATCCCACCTCTAAATTAGTTTGCTGATTGTTTGAGCTAGTAACCATTTGTGCTTCCATCCTCATACACTAGGTAGCACAGAGAGGGCTTGATCCCATTGGGAAACATTGGGCATGTCTACACATCACTGTACAGCAACATTACTACGGCACTATGCTTTAGTATTTTCTTTTGGAAGTACTAAAGCACAGTGTACTATGGGCAGTTAGTGCCATGTATGCAGCGCACAGTTAGATTTTGCCACTATGTTGCCGTAGCGGCACACTATACTGGGGAAGTGCGCAGCTATGGCGATGTAGCTGCCAATCACATGTAGACCCACGTGATCACTACATCGCTGTAGTGCACCATGTGGCGAAGTAGCATGTTGCTACGTTGCTGTAGGGTGAAATGTGGATGTACCCATTGTGAAACATGTACCACTGATTCTATCAATGCATTGTGGTGTGCCCTAGTGAGGAAGAATTTCCCTGTAATATATTGATCAGAATAATTAGATAAAGCACTCGCCCTTATTTCTCAGGACTCTTTTTTTTTCTTTGAGATCTAATCTACATTTTAAATTCTGCTCATGGAAGTATGAAGGAAAATCATGCGCAACTGATATCAAAAACCCTCATGTACACAGATTTATAGTATCAAGAAAAGTCATTTTGCCAGTAGAGTTTGAATACATTTTGGGAGCTGGTTTGTAAAAGAAACCTGCTGTCACAGAGGAGTTACTAGGAGCTCTACTGGCAACCCCTTTTCAAAGTAGACTACCTTGGTAGCATGTTGGTTTGGGAGTTGTGCCTTTTATTAGATGATAGGTCTTGGCCTGCCATCTTATTTTCTATCCTACCTTTTTTTAATTTTGAGGAACTTCCCTAAAACCCACATTTCCTCAAAGCTAAAAAAGTTTAACAAATTTTTGAGAGAAATGCAAGGTCATTTTTGAATTCTGATTTATACTACTTTTAGGCTCAAGATGGTAGCTAACTTTGTTAGCCTAAAGTAAGGCAGGGCAGGGTGGCACTTTAGGGCGTTTTTACACATGTTGCTGATGCAGCACCAGGTGCTTTTAATTAGCAAGTCATGCTGCTTAAAAGTGCCTGGTGCTGCATCAGATGCAGGTGTATAAGTGGCACAGCACGTGTCAGTGCTGTGAATGGTGGTGCACTTTGAACTAAAGCACATCAAATGTGTTTTTAGCTCAAAGTGCACCACCTGCCACTTTCTCAGTGCTGACGTGCCCTCTGCCACTTATACACCTGCATCTGACGCAGTGCCGGGCACATCCATTACATGGTCCAGTAGAGCTCCGTTACTCTACTCTGCCTTATGCTGGAGGTTGCGGAAAAGTCTGTGTGACTTCTGACAGTGATGTATTATTCTGTGTAGAAGTTGGATTTTGTTGGTTTTTGTTTCTTGTTGAGATGCAGCAAGATTCTAATAATTCCATTTTCTTCACTGGAGTTGTTCCAGATTTACATTAGTTCATCAGATGAAAATTTGGCCCTTGCCCCAGTGTTCTGAGAACGCACTGAATTAAAGAATAAAATGTATATGGACATTGTGCATTGCAGTGCAGGGTCTTCAGCGTTTCTTAGTAATGAGATTTTAACTTTTTCTGTATTAAAGTAACATCTTAAATTCTGTATTGATGTTGCTTCAGAACAAATATTTTGATTTCTATAGAAACATTTCACTTTCTCTTCATTGTAATCCTGCTCTTTTAATACTGATGATTGATGTATTTGTGAAAGGTTTTACGGGGCTACTTTTTTTTTTTTTAAGTGATGAAAATACCTATGTAGTAGTCAGTCAGACATTCAGATCATGTACTCTGGAGAGACTTAAGGAATAGTGTAAATGATGGTCTCTTCATAGGCAATGTGGGTTCCCGCCCCCCCCCCCCCCCACTCCCTACCCCTGACCTTATGTTGCAAAAGTTATTGACAGTACCACATTTTACCTGAGTAGAAGACTACCTGGATTATAAAATGATCCCCCAGTAATTAGATTCTGTATCTGGAAAAATATACATTATTATATTTTTCCAGGTATAGAATCTAATTAGTGGAGGTTTGCCACTCATGACTGGACCCAGGTGTTTTTGTCATAAGTCCTGGGATACTCAAATGTATATGTAGATGAAGCCAGAGCAACCTGGTCTGTCTCCACCTCATGGAGAGTATAGCTACACTAATATGCAACAGGATCAAAGAGGGGGAGACAGAGGGATTCTTAATGAACTGCTTGGGACCCAAAATGGTGGCATTTGCCAGACATTTAAGACTGGTGAAGAAAGAGGACTCATGGGAAGTGAGAGACAGACAGGCACAGCTCAGCTGTGGGAGTAAAGTGGAAGTTGAAAGTGTATGCATTGTAGTGGCTCCCCATGATTTGAAAAAGTTGAATGCAATGGGCATTGCCATATATCTTACTCAGATGGGCTGTACTAATTTATTCTGGGGTAGGTTCTCATCAGTATGTTTGCCCAATATTGGGCATGTGTTTTACAGTTATACTCAATATTGGCTGCATGTCATCAATGTCATAGTTTGTTTCTATTACAGAGCACATTGCTTTTGGCAGCAGTTTAATGATAGACAATACATTTACACAAAATGAAAGCTTATTAAATACAAGATGAGAAGCTTTTTTTCCTTATGCTGGGAGGAGGCATGTTAGATTTGAGTAAATATGGCACCTTACCATGCTGGTGGGGAAAAATATAAGCTCATTCCTTTTCCTCATGGTTTGATTTCTTTCTTTTTCCTTTCATTCCATACTTAGTCTTGAATGGCTCAGCATAGGAATCTGAATTTAAACTGGAATGGCTGGGAATGTACTATAGAATATCATAGAAATTTAGGGTTGGAAAGGACCTCTGGAGGTCATCTAGTCCAACCCCCTGCTCAAAGCAGGACTATCCCCAGCTAGATCATCCCAGCTTGGGCTTTACCTAGTTGGGTTTTGAAAACCTCCAAGGATGGAGCTCCCACTACCTCTCTGGGTAACCTGTTCCAGTGTTTTACTACCCTCCTAGTGAGAGAAATCCTTCCCAATATCCAACTGAAGTTTCCCTTGATGCAACTTGAGACCGTTGCTCCTTGTTCTGTCATCTGCCACCACTGAGAACAGTCTAGCTCCATCCTTTCTTTCAAAACCCCGCTTCAGGTAGTTGAAGGCTGCTATTAAATCTCCTCTCTAGACTAAATGCCAGTTCCCTCAGTTTTTCCTCATAAGTCATGTCTGCTAGCCCCCTCACCATTTTGTTGCCCTTCACTGGACTTTCTCCAATTTGCCCACATCCTTTCTGTAAGGGGGGAGGAGGGGGGGAATTGAGCCCAGTACTCCAGATGCTGAATAGAGAGGAATAATCACTTCCCTTGATCTATTGGCAACACGTGTACCAATGCAGCCCATATGCCATTAGCCGCCTTGGCAACAAGGGCACGCTCTAACCCCCAGGTCCTTTTCTACAGAGTTGCTGCCCAGCCAGTCAGCGCCCAGCCCCCAGACTGCATGGGATTGTTTCATCCGAAGTGCAGGACTTTGGACTTGTCCTTGTTGAACCTCATGAAATTCCTTTTGGCCCAATCTTCCAATTTGTCTAGGTCACTCGGAATCCTAGCCCTGCCCTCTAGCATAGCTACTCCCCTCC